AAATTAAAAATTCAGGAATTTTTATTCACGGAAGATTTGTATTTTAAGACATCTTATATTAAAAAGCAATTGTTGGAGGTTGTTCATAGTAAACAATACGAAAAGGAATATGTTGTTGATAACTGTGCTCGTAGTAACGGTCATACTGTGTTTAGACTTCCTCCTTATTATTGTACATTGAACCCAATAGAGTTAATATGGGCTCAACTTAAAGGAAATATAATGAGAAGAAACGTTGCTCCAAAATTTTTTGTCTACTGTTCTCCAGTTAATTAGAAGAGAAGTCACAAAAATTACAGCAACCAACTGGAAAAATGTAATAAAAATAAAACATGTAATCGAAGTGGAAAATGACTATGTTATGTTAAATATTTACCAGCATTAACGAAATTACCTATTAAATTAGATGATACGAGTGATACTAGTGATAACAGTGATTCTGAGTAGATAGTAAGTACTTATTAGGTGTTAGTTGAAACCTTTCATTTCTATTTTAATTGTAGATATTCTCATTTTGCTTATATATCTTTGAAAACAGGATATAAACCATCGAGCAAAAAGACAAAAGAGGGAATCTAATCCTTATGAAAAGGAGACCAAAAAAGTGGCCTCTGATGGCGGACATATCCGGAAATGCGAATGCGCCAAATTTAAATTTTCCTACACTTATTAACAGTAGCTATATAATATTTTTCAGAATGTGTCTTAGACGAGAAAGTTTTAATTAATTATTAATGGTAATAGTCTAAAATGCAACACAACTGTTAAAAAACTTAAACAATATAAATAAGATTTCATGTGACATTTGGGCATCGAGCAAAAAGACAAAAGAGGGAATGTAAAGGTAGTGGGGGCAAACATATTATTAGACAGAAAGTGCGATCTTTAGAGGCCACATTAAACAAGGAAAGAGAGTCTCTCTCCTTGTTTGACATCAAATTTAGTTGGGTTATGTTATTGTTTGTCCCAAATGTCACATGAAATCTTATTTATATTGAAGTTTTTTAACAATTGTGTTGCATTTTAGACTCTTATAATTAATAATTAATTAAAACTTTCTCGTCTAAGACACATTCTGAAAAATATTATATAGCTACTGTTGATAAGTGTCGAAAAATTTAAATTTGGCGCATTCGCATTTTTGGATATGTCCGCCATCAGAGGCCACTTTTTTGGTCTCCTTTTCATAAGTATTAGATTCCCTCTTTTGTCTTATTGCTCAATGCATTTGGGACAAACAATAACATAACCCAACTAAATTTGATGTCAAACAAGGAGAGAGACTCTCTTTCCTTGTTTAATGTGGTCTCTAAAGATCGCACTTCCTGTCTAACAATATTTTTGCCCCCACTACCTTTACATTCCCTCTTTTGTCTTTTTGCTCGATGGTATAAATACACTTCTTGATAGGACAAAAATTATTAATGTTTTAGGGGAGGATGTCAACTGAAACTGTCACTGTCATTCTCGCTGAATAACTACTATTATTAACAATGTTTTATATAGATATTATTATTTTACAATAAGTTCTGTTCAGTCGAGTCGATTAGTGTTATCACTCCCAAGATATATCACAGAAGTTAAAAACACCTATATTTTTTATTTAAACTTTATAGAAAATGAAACTTTTTGGTAAATAAAATTAAATAAAAGTAAAAACTTTTATTTAATTTAAAATTAGATATCTACGCTACTGTTCTACTAGTTTGTACTACAATAAACTAGTGGTAACTCTAACAGCGTTGCCATTTTACTAGTATTTTGCTTGTTTTGGTCTCTGTAAATTTTCTCACGAAATTACGTGGCGACTATACCCCCGTATCATCCGAGTTTGAATCCTATAGAGTTGGTATGGGCTTCTATGAAGCAATATGTTGCTGAAAAAAATGTCAGTTTTGATTTTAAATTAGTGAAAAGTTTGTATGATGAATTTTTTAATTCGTTTTCAGTCGAACAAGGGAAAAAGAGGTGTGAACATGTTTAAAAAATAGAACAAAGTTATATGACTCAAAACCCAGCTTTTGACACCGTGATAGATCGAATAGATGTCGATAGTGACAGTAACTCTGAAAATGACGAGATGGACTCTGATTCTGAGTTAGATAATTCAGAAATATGAACCTGAGACACTCATACTGCATTTCTTCAGAAACTGTTAGGTATTATAAACTTTTAATAATTTTTAAGAAATAATGTTATTTTTATTTAGTTCTTCGCGGACGATTGTAGCCGTCGAAACGAAATAATTTTTAATTTCCCACCTTAATCATTTAAAGGGCCTCTACAAGGTCATTAATAATCACATTACACAAAATATTTTGCATTTTTATTTTTAATAATTTATATATGACTTAATTATATAATACTAAATATCTCATTTTTTAAGAGTTTACACTTTTTTCATACTTTGGGTAAATATTCAAAGATAAAGGCCGCTTTTAACAAAAGGTACTGGTACAAACACAGCATATTTATGCTTCACCGGAACCGAACACTTTCTTCTTTCTATTAGTATTGCATTCATTGTAGCGTTTTTTTATTTAATGTGTATAAAAGATTTCTGTAGTACGCTCCTGTTGTTTTTACCAAAGAAAACAATCGAAATAATATTTCAAGTTTTTTTTGACGAGATTTTTAAATGCGTATTAACGCTGGAAATATGTTTTTATCTCTGTGTTGCAATGTTAGGTGAAACAACAAGTTTTTTGTCGCCAAAGAGGTATTATGTTACATGAAGTCCCCCTAATATTCCGGTTAGAATAATCAATAATGCGTATATTTCTACTGATTCAAAAGTAAATATAGATGTTTTTGTCTGTGTTTAGATTCAAATATCGAACCTTTTGTTACAAGGTCAGGTAGAACTCCGGTTTAAAATACGTGCTATTTTGTTAATTTGTATTATGTATATCTATTTTCGACGAAGTTTTTTTTGTATATAAAGGGATTATAATTTATGATGCCTCCTGATAAAAAAAAAGGTTTTATTTGTCTTTCATCGTTAGGAACGAATAACAAGGGGAAGATTGTTTGTTTTAAGTTTGTGGACGACAGGCTAGCTGTAAGACGGAAGGGAAATTTTTTGGCTTTGAATTTGTAAAATGTAACGCGGATGAGGAGTCGAGCTTAATCAATTGTACGGGACACACGTATCGATTTAAATCGATTGGTTCGATTCAGTCGTTAATTTTCTTGGTAATGTTTTAATACCAGTAAAAAATGAAGATATTCTTAGGTTTTTAATTGCCGTCTTTGAAACAGAGTACTTCATGTTATATTATTTACCTATGGTATGGTAGTCACCGGAAGTTTTTGCAAAGTGTGGAATAAGGTGTGCCGATTTTTTTGGCTTGATTCCTCAACACTGAGTTAGTTCGATTGTTCGTTCTGTAGAGCAGAAATAGTTCCTGATAGTTGCTGTTTTCCGGTTTTCCAGAGTTTGTTCAAGTAAGCTTCACCCGAGATGTAATAAGTTTCAAATTTAAGTGATAATAAAAACATTAAGGTAACTTTTAAAATATTAATCTTGCCAAGTTAAAGACATTTTTAATAATTGCTTTCATTAAATAAAAGAATTTGTAATATTTAAAGTTGTATCAAGTTTATATTGTGTTGTCTAAATGAAAAATGTCATAATTTAATCTGTCTTAAATTGTCATGTTGACAAATGACATTTTACTTTAATCCATTGTTTGTTATAAGACAATATTTATTTTGATTATTTTATATAAAAGATATACCATATTATAAGGTTTAATTCAATAATATTTTTCATAAAAAGGATATCCACAAAATTTTGATAATCTAAATTGGCCAGATTATAACCTAGAAATCATTTGAATTTTTGTAACAATCTTTGATGTAAACAAAGACATGTAAGTTGGTTTATTTTGTATTATGATATAGTATGTTTCTTTTGTAATCTATATTTTGACAACTGTTTGTTTGAGACAAGAATAAACGTTCAATTTGTTTCTCTGGTCTATTTTGAGTTTTTTTGAAAAAGATATTTTTTTTCTATATTTTTGATGTTCTATAATTATTTCCCTAACTAGTGGTTGTAATAGGTATAATTAGGCACCTCAAGTGGCGCCCTATATTAAATTTCTTGAGGTGTTTCCGTTTATTTTCATTCTGTTTGTCCCAAGAGATTTGTATAAGTACCCCTTTATTTCTTTTTTTTGTAGTTGACCCAATCCAACCCCCAATATCTTCAACTTATCCACGACCCAGCTCTCCAACAACCAACTGAGTGCCGTATGCACTTGTTTCGATTATTTTGTTTGCCCAATCTTGTCCCCCCATATTCTTACCCTGTGGTAAGCAAAATAGTCGTTACAGCATTAGACGATTTTATTACTACTTTATTATCTTATTGCTTACGCCGTTTTTCTCCGAAACCTTTTGGTCAATATAATGGTAATATAAAGTATAAATGGCCAATATAAAAATATAATTTTTGGTTTATTATGCCATAATTTATAACAACACAAGCGGTTTTTGTTGGATCTATTTTTTACATCTTACTTTGTAGAACAAATACCACAAATATACTGAAATATACTGAAGAAAAGTAATGACAGTAGTAATAATTGTATACGGAACCTATTAGAAACTATTCAAACTTTACGTTTCTATATTTGTGTCTCCGATTGTACCTATATTTTAAAGTTCACACGCGCGTACAGGCTCTCTTTTTCCTTCCGACTGCGTTCTCACTTCATTGTTCGCGCAGGCAGTTAGAATTTCAGACTTTCAGCTATTTTTGGCAAACTGTATGTACTTTTTCCGTGATATATTTTCCAGTGGATAATTTAATTATTAGATTTACTATAATTATCCTAACACCGAAATATGTTCTCCCACCTGTTTTTATTCACTAAGAACCAATTAACTAAATACTTAATGCATTAGCATTTTTACTAGAAACCGATTATATTGTCAAATTGAGCATTGGCAATACCGAAGCAATTGGCAAAAATAGTGTATAACATACTTACCTAGCATTTCCAGGATCAATTTTCTTAGTCAAATCAATCAAGTCGTCACACATATTTAGCTTTTCTAGCCAAATCTCTGGAGAATTTTCATCCACTATATCCCTGTCGGGAAATAATTGAACGAATGTGTGTCGTATGTTATACAAGAGATAATGGTGGGGGTGTAAAAAATGTTGTAGTTTAGAGATGAGATCTTGCAGTTCATGGTATTTTGGACTTTTCGTCATAATTTTGTCCACTTCGGTTCCAAGATGATGAACAAACTTCATGACGTCCTAAAAAACAAAGAACGGCTTTATGTAGAGCCATAGAAAACCGAGAAATCTCATGGAAAAATGCACTTTAATAGGATCACTAAATAGAGAACCTTTCTAACAATCGTAAACGAAGTCATGATGATCATCGATATCTGGAACAGATTGGCAGTATAAGAAGAAGAGTAGTATACTTACCATTTCTGGCAATTTGATTTTACATTTATTACACATCCAAGCACCGTTCTGGTAGGTTGGAGTAATGGGCAGTTGCAGCCCACCACAAGGATCTTGATCACTTCCTGCAATACATTTTAGAGCACTCATATTAGTTCCCAACTCACTCGGGTCCTGGCATCTTTTACACTGACACTTAAAGTATTTAGTTTCCAGTAAATGGTCCCTTCGAGCAGCGGTTCCCCATAGGATGTTGGTGTACATGGCGGTAATGTGCTCTTCTATAAACAATAAATACAACAGAAGCATTCAATGAATGATTTTAATGATGATTTCAATTACCTTTTGAAATTGTCATGGCAGCTCTAAAAGTAATCTTGAAATTATCCTTTTCGTCAATAATCTGCGTTGTATTTGGCACGCAATTATGCTCCAATAAACTAGCTGTGGGATACAGAATCATAGCATCGATATCCTCGATCAGTTCAGTAGCGTTCACATCAAGAATTCCGTAAATTTTGTGGATCAGCTCAGCAGAAACTTGTGGAAGAATTACTTGACCAGTTTCTTCCTCGTACGATTTTAGAGGTTTTAAGTAGTTTTCTTCTAATACTTCTATTTTCTCTTGTACTGCTCTACAACATTGAAAATTTTCTGAAGGTGCGTTATTTGAACCTTAAGGCAAAACTCAATACACATTTTGTTGATAGAATATTAAAAAGGTAAACACTTACTTATACACTTCTGTACCAGGTCCTCTTTTATCAAAATGGCTTTCTAGTTTCAGCAAAGTTTCGAACTTTTTGGGATTGGCCTTTTGTAGATACAAAGCTCTTAGAATTATTAATATATCAAATCTGGAAGTCGAGAAAACAGACGATTACAAACAAATAAACACAACTAAATTACAATCATTAAGTGGTAACGTGAATCTAATTTAATAACTTCTCATCAAATCATCATTTTATGTTATATCTCCTCATCACACATTTGATGAAACACACTTTCCTCTTCTTACTCCATTCCATGATATTAAATTTGCAAATACTCCGGACTAACCAAGGTGTACCAAAATCCAATTGATTGCAGTACAAACAAAGTGCAAAACCGAAGAGTTTCATATTTAATTCTTTCAATATATATTTTTTTATAAACTGATCATTTGATATATCAAAACTTGTTGTAGTTGTGTTCAATGAATTAAATGGTTCATCGATTGAATCAATGCAGTCCAATTTAATTTAATAAAAAAAGCATCGCAGTAATGTGTCTAGTTAGTAACAGCAGTGGTTTTATTCATGTTTTACAATCTGAATAATATATTAATCCACCGGTTCGATCAGTGTAGTCCAATTTTTGATAGAAGAAGCATCGAAGTGATGCATTTCTTCTTCTTCTTCTTCTTCTTATTATTATATAGACACGACTCTGACTGTTTTTCAATGTGCCTCCAATAAGTTGTCATTCCATCGTTTTCGTGGTCTTTCTACTGATCGTCATCCTATTGCGGAACCGTCTCTTCCCGTCTATACTACTCTATTCCATATGTCCTATAGTGTCTTACCATCAATTTTTCTAAGTGTTTTCATCTCTGCTGTTTCTAACATCCTTTTTGTCCTCTCTGTGTCAGGTCTTGTTTCTGCCGCGTATGTCATTATTGGTCTAATGACTGTTTTGTAAATTCTGCCTTTCATTTCTTTCCCAATATTTTTATTTCTAAATATTGTTTAATTCAGGCAGTATGCGGCTCTGTTTGCTCTATTCACTTGATCTTACACTTCGGTTTCGAGCTTTCCGTAGCTAGATAATATGACGCCTAGATATTTAAACTCCATCACTTGTTCTATTATATGACCTTCCAGCTCCAATTTACATCTCAGTAAATTTGCTGTTGTAACCATGCATTTTGTCTTTGTTGGGAAAATTAACATGTTAAATTTTCTGCCGGTTATATTAAATTGGTGCAGCATACGTTGTAAATTATCTTCACTTTGAGAGAGTAGTATTGCGTCGTCTGCATAGCAGCTTATTTTAAGTTATTTTTCTCCCATTTGGTATCATCTTTTAGTTCTTACTCTTTTTATTATTTCATCCATAATTAGGTTGAACAATAGAGGACTCAGGAAACCTCCCTGTCTTATCCCATTGCCAGCTTCAATAGGGTCTGTTAGTTCTTCTTCTAGTTTTACTTTTATTGTGTTGTTTGGGTAGATATTTTTGATCGTTTTGATTATTCCTAGAGGTATCTCCCTTTGATTATTTGTAGTGGTATCTCTCTTAGAATAGAATAAGTGGATAACATCCTTTAATTTAACCCTGTCAAATGCCTTCTTAAGGTCCATGAAACATAGATATGCTGGTTTGTTGTATTCTAATGATTTCTCTTGCACTTGCGTCATTATAAATATAGCGTCGGTGCATGATCTTCCCGACCTAAAACGTTGTTCTTCTGCTAGTGTTATAATTTCATTCAGTTTATTTATTATCACTTGTTATCACAAGTTGTTTTTCTCCAATTGGGTATCCGTTTTTTAGTTCTTACTTTTTTATTAATTCATCCATAATCAGGTTGAACAATAGAGGACTCAGAAAATCTTATCCCAGTCTTATCCCATTGCCAGCTTCAATAGGGTCGGGTAGTTCTTCTTCTACTTTTACTTTTATTGTGTTGTTTTGGTAGATATTTTCGATCGTTTTGATTATTTCTAGAGGTATCTCTCAATAGTGTACAGCATACAGTAAGTGGATAACGTATTTTAATTTGACCCGGTCAAATGCCTTTGTAAGGTCCACGAAACATAGATATGCCGGTGTGTTGTATTCTAATGATAATAATGATAATAACTTGCCTCATTATCAATATAGCGTCGGTACATGATCTTCCTGACCTAAAACCTTGTTGTTATTTTTCTAGTGTTATAATTTCATTCAATTTATTTGTTCTCCTCTGTAATTCCCCTGTAATTTTCCGGGTCCGATTTATCTCCCTTTTTGAAGAGAGGTATATTAAGATGCTTGATCTCTATTCTTGAGGAGTTATGTTTTGTTTTAATATTTTTTTAATTAGTTTTAAATAGTTGTTTAGTCAGATCTGGTCCTCCGTACTTTAGGAGTTCGTTCGTTATTCTGTCCTCTCCTGGCGATTTTCTTAGTGATGCCTTTATATTCATTAATTAACACCAGTTGTTGTTTTCGTCTTATATAAAAACTGGGGGATATATTGATCCATCTGTTGGATCAATGTAGTGCAAGTGGATGAAAGAAACATCGAAATTATGCATCAATCTTCTCTATTCAGCAACAACAGTTGTTGTATTCATGTTTGACAAACTGAATAATATTTAGTAGAATAATCCAACGGTTTGATCAGTGTACTCCAATTTGATAGAAGCAAATCCCTTCTCTTCTCAGCAACAGCAGTTGTTGTAGTCCTGCTCGACAAATTGAATGATGTGCTGGTCCGTCGATTGGATCAATGCAGTGCAATTTTGTGGCAGAAACATGTCATTGATGCATTTATCTTATCTAGTCAAGAACAGTAGTTGTTGTAGTCCTGTTTGACAAACTGAATGATATACTAGTACATCGATAGGTTGGATTAGTGCAGTCTAATTTAATGGAAAATATATCGTAGTGATGCATTTATATTTTAAAGTCAGTTCTTCTTTGGACAGATAACTGAAAACACTATTAAGAAGATTCAATGCCTTATGCGGAAGACTTTAAATAAGTTTCTAAATCATAGTATGAAGAATTCTTAAATATTTTTATGAAAAGATGTTTTGTCTTTTTTGTGAATGGCACAGATCTGTCATTTACTTCTTGTAAAAATTTTAATTGAATAGGCTCTATGTAGGTTACGCCTTTGGAGAATTTCACTCCTATTATATTCGTTAAACGTATTCCATGGTTACGTCTGAATCATTCCAATTATTTTTTGTTCCCTTCAATGTTATCCTTGTCTACTCTACCCTAAAATCCTAAAATCCTTGTCTACCCTAAAATATACTTATGCAAACGTTTTTTCCAGTCTTAAAAGCAAAGCATTTGCTTTTTTTATTATTTTTAATAATTCAGCCTTTATCTCTTAAATTGTGGCAAAATCCATCCTTTAATGGTTTTTTGCAATTTTGCGAAAAGTCACACACCGACAAAATCCGGCTAATATGTTAGCTGATGCATAATTAGGGCTATTTCTGAACAAAAATTATTTTTTCTTTTTGATATCAAAACCAAAGCCCTAATTCTACCATCAATATATACAACAAGCACTTAAACTGCGGCAAATCTTGCTCAATTTATACCTAATTGATAAATATATGTTTGCAATGGCTTTACAAACTCAAAGTTAAAGCAAAAATGAGACTTTAAACATTTAAATGTTAATGAAGTTAGTATTATTCTCGATGTCTCTATAAAATTGTTCAAATAAGAAAAATTATAAATATCGATGTATTAGTTTTAAAGAATTTTGAAAATAATATGAATAAATAATTTTGTTTTCAGGAAAAGAAAAATTCACCTTCCTTAACAAAATTCGTATGTTATTTACCTGTAAAAGTCCAGAAAAGCTTTAGCATCACTTGCAGGCTTTAACCTTAGGACGTTGCATTCAAATCCATGCTGAGAAGGTATCTTCAAGCCTTCGCAAGATGTTTTGCACACTGGCCACAAACAACCTGGACACATCTCACACATTTGATCGTGAAGTAATCTAAAATAGGTAGATTTTAAACAGTTATAGGTCCATAAATCGTAATAACCTTATGAAAAAAGAGCAGGAAGAATGTGTAAAATTTGTAAAAAATGAATAAATAAAAATATTTGATGGATTCGACCGTTACTTGATGGAAATTCATTTTATCTAACAATAAAACACTGAAAACTTTGTTTTCAAACTTCCACAAAATTTATTTGAAATATTATCACTACAGCTGTTTCGGCTGATTGCCTTTCTCAAGTGATCTATTTTGGCTTGGGTTTACAAATTTATAGTCTCTAATGAAATAGGTTGAGGAGGGGAGAACTGTTTGTCTCAAGTTGGTCATTCAGAATTATATCTGTGTTTTTTAATTTGTTGATTTCCATAGATTCTAACAAAGATAGCTTAAGGCCTTTATTTTGAATGTGAAGAATTTTAAATTTGTCATTGAAAGAATGATTATGATCTAGAAGGTGAAGTGCGTATGTCGAATCTGTTTTTCTATTCTTGAAAGCCCTTTTATGTTCTGCTATTCGTTTATCAAAGTTTCTACCAGTTTGACCGATGTAAGTTTTTGGGCAGTCGCCACATTCAAGTTTGTACACATCACTATTTAAGTGTTTTTTATTTTGGCTCTTGTTATTTTTAATATATTTGCCTAGGTTGTTATTTGTTCGGGAAGCTGGTGTTATTCCTTTCTTTTTTATGTGTTTGGCAATTTTTGTTGTTATTTTGCCTGTATACGTAATCGAGCAGAAGGTACTGGGTTTTTTCTCTGGTGGTGGAAATACTAATTTCAGGGCTTTCTTGTGTAGTTTTTGATTTTATTAATTGTTTGTTCGTTGTATCCGTTGTTTACTGCTATCTGCTTAATTATATTTAATTCTGTCTCAAAGTTGTATTTTGACATATTGACAGTTGCATTTTGACTGTATTATCGTGCCAATACATAAAATATTCAGAAAGGATACATGTGGCAACTACAGGGGAATCTCACTAATCAGTACTACATATAAGATATTAGCTAGCTTCAGTTGTACTAAAACGATTACTGCCATATACAGAGGAAATTATTGGCGATTACCAATGCGGCTTTAGGCCTGGAAGATCAACAATCGACCAAATATTTGCTATCAGACAAATGCTAGAAAAGTATTGGGAATATAATAAAGAAGTAGACCAGATCTTCATAGATTTCAAACAAGCATATGATTCCATAGATCGCTTAAAACTGTGGAGTGCAATGATGGAGTTAGGCATACCAAAGAAGCTGACCATGATTGCGCGAATGTGTGTCAACAATTCCTTTGCACAAATTAGAATAGAAGGCAAAACTTCAAAGGCTTTCGGCATAAGCACCGGGCTCAGACAGGGAGACCCGCTGTCCTCATTACTATTTAACCTAGCATTGGAATACGCAATGCGAAAAATCTATACCAGAGTCAAACCAGACATAACTGCCAGAGGAGCAAAGATTATTCTCGCATTTGCAGATGATGTAGATGCAGTAGCACAGACGTAGTAACACTGGAAGTTAAGGATATAGTATCGAACTTTGAAGAAGCAACACTAAGCGTAGGCCTGAAAATAAACGAAGAAAAAACTAAGTACATGGTCGTATCAAAAAAGGAACGACAGCGAATAAGACAAAACATTACCATAAACGATCATAATTTTGAGGTGGTCAAAGAATTCAAATACCTAGGAGCAACAATTACCAGTGAAAACACAGGAGAACGGGAGGTTGAAATACGAATACTGGCGGGGAATAAACCATTCTTTGCCATTCAACATCTAATGAGGTCAAAGCTTCTCTCAAGGCGTGCCAAAATCCAAATGTACAAAACCATAATACGACCAGCAGTGACATATGGAAGTGAAACATGGACATTGAGAAAGAAAGAAATCAATAAGCTATTAGTATGGGAACGCCAAATCCTGCGAATTATATATGGTCCTTGCAGGGACAGCGTGACAAATGAATGGAGGAGCAGATACAACAATGAAATAGAGACTCTCTTCGGGAAAGGAAACATCGTAAGATACATAAAAGCCAATAGATTAAGATGGGCAGGCCACGTGGTACGAAGTGATGACGACAGGCTGATTAGCAATGTGTTTTGGGAAAGACCAGATGGTAGAAGATCGACAGGAAGGTCTAGAAAAAGGTGGAAAGACGCAGTCAGGGAAGACCTGGAGAAGATGGAAGTAAGGCCATGGGAAATAATAGCACAGGATCGGAATCAATGGAAGGCAATAGTAAACGCAGCAAAACCTCACGAAGAGTTGTAAAAGCCAATGATGATGATGAGACTTGCACTGGTTGTGGCGAAATATATTCCCAAACCATAAAATCTGACGACTTGATGAATTGCTTCCATTGCTCCAAATGGTTTCACGATCCCTGCTCCAAGTTTGTGAACTTTTGCTACGTCTGTGACGTTGTTATGTGCAAAATAAAGTGACATTTTGGCCAAAATATTTTTTTTTGTTTAGCCATCTCACTTTATCATTGTGGTGGAAATGATTTTTCTAAACTCAATAAAGTTTCGTTAAAAAAATTAACAGTGATACCAATTTAACATTTAAAAATGTTAGCATAAAATTTTCAAACCTGGGCCATCTACCCTCGAATTACCTAGTAAACTAACTACTGTACTAATAATGTTAATTTCGAAAAGTACGCATAAAACACAAACCAAATATGGCAAGAACTTCACACTTTGACTGGAACCAAAGGAAGAGTTTTGTTTCCAGATCAGTTTACTAGTTATAAAAGTATGATTGATCAGACACGTTACCTATAATGAATGGAGAAGAAGAATATATTCTTTATTAACTGGTTTTATCTATTATATATATATATATATATATATATATATATATATATATATATATATATATATATATATATACAATCTATTGATTTATATAAAATGTGTCTGTTTTCAGTTTGTTAGTTTTATCAGAACTGTCAAAAATATCTAAGGTAAAGTGTACCATAAAAACTATAATTCAAGATTAAAAATAAGTCGTACTGCAGCATCAATCTTATTTTTGTTACGTATTATTATGAATACCTGCAGCATCCAACGCATGGAAAAGGCCCCTCTTGTATACGGTGAGGTTTGGGTCCAAATACGAGAGGTAATTCAGAGAAAATAACATCTCCAGGCTGAAGTTCTCTGGTGGCGTTTAAGTATCTACCCAACTCTTTTGAATGTTGTTCCTAAAAAATGTAGCACATAAAGAAATAATGTTGGATTGTTACAAAACGTAATGAATAGGCTAGAAAAAGAGTCCATGTAATAATTAAAGTAATTTATTAAAATTAAAATACACAAAATATATTTAGATGCGTTCAAAACAAAAAAACGAACAAGATCGGAGATAATAAAAGGAATGCTAAGCTCAGGTTGGTCAATGCCCGTATTTTTACCGTTGCTACATATGCAACTGAAGCATGGACTCCAAAAAAAATCGATAGGAGTAAGGCCGAAGCATTCGAAATGTGGGTCTAGAGAAGAATTTCACGCATGTCCTGGACAGAACATAGAACCAACCTATCAATTCTGAAAGAGTTTCATATAAAAGACAGGCTATTAAAAAAAAGTAAACCGAGCATAGCTATATTACTTCAGCCACATGGCTAGAATAACAGGGACCATGGAACTTTTGGTAGTAGAATGAAAGGTAGAGTTGGAGATCTTCCACCAAGAGGAAGATCTCCAACACAATGGGCGAACCAAATGAAGACTCTGGTGGGAAAATCTATACATAAAGCCATCCATATGACACAGTATCGCAGCTAATGGAGACAGCAAGATAATAATATTTATAGTGTCACCACAAACGGACAATGGCTCAATTAATGAGGAGGTGGAATTTGATAAGCGTTGGAAACCCTAAAATAAATAATAACAAAAAACAGTAATAACAAAAATTAGTTAATAGAAAAAGAACAATACCTCGAATGGTCGACATTTGATTTTATGTTCCTTCCAATGCTCCTGTTGATGAGCTTCACTACAATAAAAAACCAACTTGCAAGCCGAACATTTCCTCACTGCAACTGACTTACAAACTTCACAAGAACCTTTTTCTTCGTTGTCGCTGTCACTACCCATTTTATATACCTGCAGAAACATCAGTAAAGAAATCCAAAAAATACTTAGTTTAATTAAAAATAAAAAATATCTATATCCCTCTACCCTTATATTTAAAGAAATATGATATTTAAAAAAATCTATTTGAACATGTAAAACTATCAAAAGCACATTTATTTGAAATAAACAGTTAACTCCTCCTTATATATATATATATATATATATATATATATATATATATATATATATATATGTATGTATAAAATAAATAAAAATAATAACGAAAAACTAACTATATATATATATATATATATATATATATATATATATATATATATATATATATATATATATAGATAGGTTTAAAACGTTCTCCTACATCTTCCAATACCCAGTTGCCACTCCTCTCGATTCATCCATAAGTCGTCTTCTATGTCTCTATCTTTCATTTCTCTATTGATGCCTTCTCTCCAACTAAGGCGGAGTCTTCCCCTTTTTTTTGGCGTAAGAGGTCCACATTAAGATTTGTTTTGGGAGACGTTCTTCAGACATTCTCTGTAGGTGACCATACCATCTGAGTTATTGGGTACCAATATCGTCTACTATTGTATGCTTTACTTTGATAATTTCTCTTATTCTGTTGTTCGTTACTCTTTCTAGTCTAGATTTTCCAGCTGAACGTCTCCAGAAATCTATTTCCGTTGCCTCAAGTTTCCTCTTGTATATTTTCTTTATTTGCCATACTTTACTACTGTAGGTAATTATACTTTTATTGATTGTATTATATATCTTGTGTTTGTTATTATTAGAGATTGATTAATCCCAAAGGATACTATTGAGAAGGGAAATTGCTTTTCTTGCTTGATTGTTTTTCTCCTCAATTGTGTCGTCTACATTGCCTTTTTTTGTGATGATCATACCTAAATATTTATGTGTTGCAATGTCTCAAGATGGACCAGAAAACTAATTGACTGGCGCCCAAGAGGAGACAAATGTAGCAGAGGACGTCCACCAACACGCTGGCCGGACGACATTAAACGAATATCCAAGATATGGCAGCAACACGTACAGCACCGCAAAGAGTGGCGAAAAGTAGAAGAGACCTATGCTCAGCAGTGAACAGAAGAGGTTGCATGATGATGATGGTGATATGAATTAGACGAGGAGTGCGACAGGGTTGCGTGTTATCACCGCTATTATTTAATATGTATTCGAGTCTATATTTAGATGAGCATTAGACGAGATCCAAAATGGAATCAAAATCAACGGAACTAGCATAAATATCATAAGTACGCTAACGATACCGTCCTAATAGCAACGAATGCACACGACTATAAAATATAATAAATTCGATAATTATTTATAGTAAAATGGGCGTTTTAAATCTAAATGTTTCCAAAAGTAAATTTTAGGATTTTCAAAGACCCCCAATAAACGTATAAGAAGAAAACACTCAGGAACATAAAAACATTTTTTATGAGATCAAACCTTAGTATGGAGCTCAGAATCCAAATGATCAGATGTTACATTTTGTCTGTCTTGATTTATGGCTGTGAAACTTTAACAATGGACTCTAAAACAAAAAGAAGACGATGTATATGTACAGATAGATGCTTAGAATTCCATTGACACAAAAAATTACCAGCAATGAAGCACTTTGGCGCATTAATTAATTAATTGGTTAAATTAATTAAATTACAATACATAATAACAGAGCATCCATCACCTTCTTACCAGTGCAATGGACATTTCGATAGGTGCTGTCAACTGCCAGGGTATCGCGAAAAAACGCCCCTTCATCAAGCATATCCTATGGAAAAACTGACCCTATTTTTCCCGGGTACTGCACACTACACCGCCCCCGCAGCCAGTTATCACGTGGTAATGGATTCCTAAAGAGACGACTCCTTCGTCAGTTTCAACGTACCCGCAACCCCCTAGTCAATACGGAGTACAACCGCCTGTCTGCAGTTATCAAACTACAGGTTAATAATCTGCAAGCCAATCAATGGTTCACCTTGTGGTGAACAACTAAATTATTAATTCAAATCAACCGAAAGCCAATGCCTTTAAAATTCACTTATAAACCACCCTAATCACCCCCGATGACCCCAGATTTGACCACGACTACCATGCAACCAATGAGAGAAACATAATAAGACGATTCGCCACTCCCTTCGATTTGCAAGAGCTACGTGATCATCATATCATCGCACGTGCAGATCAACAAAGATTCGAACATTTTTGCCAAATCGGAAAATCAAATTCATCTGAACCTGACAAAATTGCCAGGAAATGCGTGAAACAACTCCCACCGAGCGTCACACTCTACCTGGCGAACATAGTCAATGCCACTCTTAGACTCTACTACTGGAAGGTAGCCAATACACTTATGCTCCTAAAAAAGGGCAAACCCCGTACCAAGCGACACTCTTATAGGTCGATTTCTCCACTAAATGTTTTAGCTAAGGTCTTCGACAGGATCCTTAAGGAGAGACACGTTGACTTTACCACCGAACACAACATTATTCCAACACTTCAATTCGGCTTTAGGGAAGGTCACCCCACCACAACGGCATTGATAGAGATCGAAACCCATCTCACACAAAGTCTAAACAACGGCAAACTCTCATTAGGCATTTTTATCGGTTTTCAAAAAGCCTTTGACCAAGTTTGGCATGCTTAACTGGCCAGGAAATTGTTAAACATCGGCCTGTCCCTCTCTTTCGTTAGACTTATCCACTCATATGTCTCTCAACGTCAAATCACGGTAAAAGTGCGAGGTCATTTCTCCGACTCCTTTACTCCTACAGCAAGAGTTCTACAAGGTTTAGTGTTGGCACTTATATTATACACTATATACAACAACTTTCCAAACCCACGATACACCAACACGCTCACGCTCTACGCAGACGATACAGCTCTCGTAACAACAGCACGAGACGTAAATTCAGTACTCAGGTTTACTCAAAATCACCTTGATCTGGAAGTGAGTCGGTCTACTCAATTTTCTCTGTGGTGAGTTCGGAAGGACACACTCACGCACACTCATAAATACTTACAAAACATTCATCAGGGCGGTGATCGAGGATAGATCTAACCTCTATATTTAGATCCACCGTTACCTCACACAAAGGCTGCTGGGATTGGAACGGGAAATCCTGCGTAGTAAACGACAAACGACGCGACTACCCCTCCGCCGTTATTCATCAACTGTCGAACATGCAGCCCATCAATAAGGGGCTCTCCTCTCTGAGCAGGAGTTACAAAATCAAAATCATCCGTGACCATAACTTCAAAGCCCAAAATATCTTGAAAACTACCTTCTCATCCATCGGCAATGTATTCAAAAGACGAACTAAACCCAAATCTCTTTCCTACCCACTAAATTACTGGCACTTGCCAGCAACGAACTCCCTGATGAATACATTGACATCCTGGAGGCAACTCCTCTCTTTTACTGCCGTAACAACCAATAAATGCTCACTTCGAGCTTGCCTAGACAGGGAGGGATCAGTTTTCTGTGGTTTCCCGATCGATCCCATCGCACAATGATACCTGTCTATTGCAGAGGATACAGCCACACGCGAGTCACAGTAATAAATTTACTAATTAAACTAAATTGTACACATAGTAAATTCAGTAAATTTATAAACCTCCTCCTCCTCATCAGTCCTAATCCCTTTTGGAATGTGGTAACACCATCAGGCCTTTACAGTTTTTTCACGATTTCCCTCCATCCTTCTCTGTCCTGGGCTAGTTGTTCGGCTTCATGTAACCCTTGTTTAATTAATATTTTTGTTTGATCTACCCAACGGCTTGGAGATCTTCCCCTAGGTCTCTTTCCTTCAACTCTACTTTCGACTATCAGTTTTTCCATCGTACCTGTTCTTCTAGCAATGTGTCCAAAATACTGCAAATATCTCTGTTGTATTTGTTTAAGCAATCTACCCTTTACTTTAAATTGTTCCAATATCGATACGTTAGTCCGATGATCAATCAAGGATATTCTCAACATGTGGCGGTATACCCACATTTCAAAAGCGTCCAGTTTATTTTTATCTGCTTTCTTTAAGGTCCACGTTTCGAATGAATATGTGGCTATGGGAAAAATGAGTGTCCTTACCAGCCTTAGTTTTGTGTGTATTGTTATGCTAGAATTTTTACAAATTGCAACCAGTTTCATCATAGCTGTTCTAGCAATAGTCAACCTTCTACGTATCTCTCTGTTACACCCTCTGTCATTTGTGATTAGGGACCCCAAGTATATAAAACTATTTACTACTTCAAAGCCCCAATTTCTTTAATGTGTGGAACATTATTCCGAGCTCTGTCTACTATCATGATCTTTGTCCTACTCCTATTTAGCTATAGTCCATATGTTTTGCTTTTTTCCTCCAGACATCTCATTATTTCTTCCATTTCTTTTTGATTTGCCGCGATTATTAAAGTGCCATCAGCATATCTCACGTTATTGATTTTTTGACCTCCTACTGATATTCCACCCTTCTATCCATCTGGTACGTTTCGCATAATGTGTTATCTGTAAATATTAAACAGAGTTGGCAAGATTTTGCATCCCTGCCTGACACCTGCCTCTGTGCTGAAATGATTGGAATGGGTGTAATGGAGTAAATTGGAATTTATAAACATATTTTAGGTACTAGTAAAATTCTGAAACGGACCGTTTTAGCTCAACAACCTTTCAACTTTGATTGTCCAGGATCCTCCTCATTGAGACATTTTAGAATTCTTATTGTTTTATAGTCTTTATCACGATACACTTACAGTATCCTCGTCAACGCGAACCATTTAGGAATGGACTCTAGCAGAGCCAAGATGAGCCGGCCGAAATATCGAGCAGAGCTCAAAAAAGAAGCTGGCTTGAACTTAGAGCTGCAGGTTGAGCTTGTGGCTCATTTTACATCTTACGGGTATTGTGTTTGATGTTCACGCATCCAGTTGGATAGTTGGATGGTTCTTTTGCCTAGTATCTAAAATTCTGACGGTTGACCTTTCCATTTTATATGAAAGTAGCTTCA